AGTGAATGTAGGTGACGTCAGCCATCACCGCGCGGGACACCAGACAACCCGCCCCCCCCACAGTCATCACCAGTCCTCTTCTACACCCGACTTCAGTGAAGTTTTTCTTGAAACAATTTTCTTGCATTTAAAGAACATTTGCGTGTGTGCAGAATTATATAAATTTGCTTGTGTACTCGTAAACCTTGTGTTTTTCAGTGTAAAGCAGTATTTTCTTTAAACTCGTATTTTTTCCAATATTTATCAGTGTTTCTCACTTATCCTCTATTATTTATCCTGTGTTTTTTCTTTATGCTATTCGTCTTCGTAAGTATTAATTGTGGTAGTGTTACCAAGTCCAGTCACCCTGTGTGAAAGTGAGTTCATTATTTTTTTTTAATTGATTGTCCCATTGTATTTCCAATGCAGTTATATTCACCCCAGTATAACCAAATTTTCCATTTTATTCTGTGTGTCAATTTTTTTTCGTATGCCAACAGTGACTCATTCCTCTTAATTTTCGCAGACTGTGTACCATTATTTTTGCCAGCAAAATTTTTGGTCAATCAGTCCACAGCAAGATTTTTTGTTGATCATCACAGCAAGATTTTGTTTGTATCAGTCACGACAGGAATTTGTTTGTAAGAATTTGTTATAGTGAAGTGTGGCCATGCAACTGTAAGTGTTATATTCCCTGTTTTGTTCCAGGGGGGGGGGGGGGGGGGGGGGGGGGGGGGGGGGGGGGCTGTGTTTTATTTTTATATTTTTATATTCTTGAACAAATTCACTCTTGATGCAAATTCAATTACTTTTAAAAACGTAAAGTGTTTTCCTTGACTCCTGTTTGAGTAAATAGTTTTGTCTAATTTACAATTAAGAGTTAAAGGTTCAATCAGTTTAATTTTTTGATCTTCATATTTTTAATTCATTATTTTTACCTGAGTTTCCCAGTGACACTTTATTACTGCAGTGATTGTTTTCTACACCTTATTTTGTTGCACTTGTTCTGAAGTGAATTATTTTGTGAACTGTTCTGCATGAATTATTTTCTTTTATTGCTATTTTTAATGATTTATATTTTAATTTTGTCGTATGCATTCTAGAAACTACTTAAATTTCCCCAGTTAACAATTTAATAATTTTATTTATACATTCCACATTGATTTAAAAAATTTAATTAATTAATTTCTTTATTAGCAAGAGTTAAGACAGCTCATTTTGAATTTTAATTCATCCTCCAGTAATATTTTTACTTGTATATTTCAATGTAAATTTTTTATTTTTGTCAATAGTCCTATTAAATTGAGTTTTTTTTTTCTTCTTCAGTGTAATTTTAGAAATTATTCTGCAGAATAAGTTGTTATATCTTTTCATTTCAATTCTAGAAATTTTATATCATTTTTCTTGTTCATATTTTTGCCTTAATTGTTCTCGTGTTACTTTTGCCATTATGTCCTCATAAAACCGTCAAGTGATACTATAGTGAATGTCGACACTCCAGACCTCTCAGGCTACTACTGCTGCCCTGTCATATAGTCCTCGACATTCCTTTCCGACTGACAGACCGACTCAGACACTTGAGATATTATAGTTTATACTCGTGATTCCCTTGATGCTTACCTTTATTCGAATGGCCATTACATAGTCCTTGAAGCATTGGTTTGCAGCCATTTCGTTTCTCGTGCAAGTGCCCTAGCTGGAAGGTCCTCCTTCAGAGGAAAGCCTATCAGACTTGCTGAAAGAAAGCTCTTTATCATCTCCTGCTGCTGTTCACGTTGTATGATCTCCCTTGATATGCGAGACTTCAGGAATCTTACTAGTGGTCACAATAAGAGGAACTGATTCTTTCTTTCCTGTCCCCAGTAAACAGCTGATCCATATGTCGTCTTTGGGACCTGGTGAATGCTACACCCATGAGTAATGAATCGGGTGAGTGCATTGTGCTGCTAGATTAAGATAAACTTTTATCATCATTCTATCAATGCTGTCCAATCCATCATCTTTCTCTCTGAAGAGGCTAACCATTTACAGAATCAATTGCAAAAATAGCAGCTTTTGAGCAATAAGAACTATGCCACCTGCTTCTGTGTTGCTTATTGAGGCTGATCCTCAACTGTAACGAATGGAACCACTTACAGCCTTAAATCAAGTACGTTCCTTTTGCCCCCAGGTACTTTCCCTTGTCTTAAAAGTAATGTCACAAATTATGCCACAGTCTGCACCACCACCTTGTTTGCGCCACAGAGACAAATCGTAGACGTCAACCATCTCAGATATCACCAAGAACCAGTGTACAGGATTCGTTAAAACACCTCGTGAGTTTCATAGTACATTCATAACCATAGTCGCGGAAATGTTACAACTGTGTTTTCCGAGACATATTGGCAATTAATTGTCCAGATAGTTATCCTAAGAGACGTCGTACTGAAGAGAGTACTCAGATCTTCCTTACTGTACTTATCATAGAATACATGGACATGACACATCTTGAGTGTAATGGCTCTTCTATAACCTCCAGTACTTCTAGATCTTTCCTGTCGTTTTCCAACCGCACACGAACCCGTCGAGGTAACAGATCTCTGCTTTTCAAAATAACCAGAAACCAGGCTCATTCATTCAATTCCAAACTCCCAGAACCAGGCTCGTTCTTCCCAGTCGGGGGAATTCGAGCGTCCCCAGTCAAACCGCCCCAGGTGACAGTAGGTGATAATGAGTACACCATCCCCTTCCCACAACTCCTTTGAAGCCTTAAGCAGTCTCGAGAAGACAACCCCTGCCGAGGTTGTTGCTCACATGTCTCTGACACAGATGATTTTGGGGATTGGAGTAAACAGTCTTTTTCTGATGACAATCCACCTTTTTGTTTGCACATAACTTCCATGCAACCATAGGCCCTATAGTGCAGCAACGGTGTTTATAATCGCCCGTTCAATTGTTTCATGGACTCTGGTGCGCAAATCAAATTATGTAGGTCTTAGTTTGTTTAAGGATAAGAAGTTACGACCATGTCCTTCTTGTAGAACCGACTCCTGTGTCCTCCCTTAGTGGAGTATCTGGTTTCTCACCTGCGTGTCCCGAGGTACCGACTGCCCCTACCTTTTCTATCCAAGGTGAGAACTTCACTGTTTTCCTTCCTTGTTGTCGATCAGATTACTTTCCCTGGTGGACTTCTACTGGATTTGCGCTTCCATGCGAGACTTACGCATGTGCCGACCCTTATCGATGGCATGGCACAAATTGACGACTTGATCGTTATCCAATCTGGGGTTACCATCTTGGATCAGAATCTGTTATACTGCTCAGATAAGATGTACGGATTAAGTCCTTACAAGCTAATGCATTCTCCAGTAGCGTACCCAGCGGTCAGGCCTGGTAATTCTGTCACTCCCATCAGTGTTCCCCTAACCTTCAGAATTGCAGGATAGTCCGATGCCTCAAGTGTCCGAGGACGCTCAGATTGCCTGGGGGGGGGGGGGGAGTGCTCAACCTGATCCCTGCAATGTCCTGCTAGTTCGAGAAGTAGGTTTCTCCACAGGGGACGCCTTGTCCGAAAACAATTACTGCAACTAGTAAGCCATCTCTTGTTGATGTCACATGCCGTCTGCAGAAAGAACGTTTCTGTCGGCTAGTGCTCTCACTAGAGTGTCTGTAGTGTTTCCTATGTTCCAGATGGTGATAACGTCCTATTGAGCAGTGATTCCTGCAAAGTAAATGGTCTATTTTGTGAACCATCCTTACATTTGTAAGAGATAGTAAGATCCATTCTACCTGGCCAACAACTTCAGGTCACAGTGATTTTCGCCTTAGAGGCAAATACAATCTGTTGACCTTGTTCACTATCCTTACCCTGTTCAGGTAGAGGAATAGTTGTCACCTGACCATGGTATCGGGTGCTATTTCTGCCGGGGAGACCTCATCCACCTCACTGGATTCAATCTGTTCCACCAGTTGAGAGAAAAGACTAGCTCCCACTGACTTCCCAGATGAAGTCAAGCTGTTTGTGACTCTGCTGAACAAACGTCGTAAAGCCATTGTCTTTACCAGTGAGAAATGGGTATAACGAACTTATTGTCCCATCGTATTCACACTTGAAACCTGGTACTAAGACCTATCTACATACCTGCGTACAGAATGCCTCATTCACAAGTTGCTTCGCAGAAGAATTGATCAATCAAATGCTTGATGATGGAGTTATTGCACCTAGCAATTCCCTTGGCATGCACCATTGATACTAGTACCTAAGAAGATGAGTACTTGGCGTCCCAGTAATTTACTTTAGGAAGTTAAACGCGAAAACCATTCACAGATCGCCTTTCCACTCCCTGTACTGGGTGATCTTTTACTAATATTGAGATGAACAAAGTCTTTTGGAACCCTAGTATTTGTACAAGGGTTTTGGCAAGTCCCTCCTTCACAGGACAGCCAAGACTAACTGCATTCTCCCACCTCCTACAGGTCATATCACTACCTTCCGAATGGCATTTGGATTACGACTTCCCTAGTCACTTCTCAAGGCACATGACTAATATCTTTAGAGTCTCCATAGGTAATGCACTTATGTTGACTAGATGAACGTAATCGTCCATGTCTAAAGACTGGATACACACTTGAAAAGACTTGGATGTAGTAAACTTGGTAAGCTTAAGAAGCCAATTTAAAGATCAAACCAGTCAAATTCAATCTTTCAGATCATAAATTAATTTCCTTGTCACGTAGTTCCACTCCTATGAGGGTACGACTGACCAAAGTAAAGTAACTGCAGTACTAAATTTTCCAACATCCCAAAACTGCTATGCCGTAAGATCCTTTGTGGGCTTAGCAGGTTTTTTTTATAGAGCTTTCATTGCCAATTTTTCTCCAGCTGCCTCCTCTAACTGAGTTGCTTAAGAAAGATGCCCTTTGTTTGGACCTTCCGTCAAGAAAGAGCATTCCAAACTCTAAAAGAAAAGCTAACTTTTCTGCTCCAATTTTGAAATTTCCCCCAGATTTTCTAAGCCTTTCTATCTGACAACTGATGGTAG